CGTTTCCGTTTCCGATTATTCGATTATATTCTTATTTATTTTTTTTAAACGCACACAAAACACGCATCGAAATAACATTTTTTTAAAATAATAATAAAACATCTCGACGAGTAGGAAAAAAGAGAGAGAGAGAGATGAGAATAAGGAAGATTGAAAAGTGATGATGGTTCTTTCATCATCATCATCATCATCGTGTCAATCAATTTCTTTTAATTTTTTTTTTTAATTTTAACAATAAAATGGCGATTTACGACGGCAATAGTGGAAACATTTTGCACTTAGCCAAAGGAAAATAAAAAAATTGTCGTTATTTATTATTAAAATGAGACTCGTAAATTGATCTTAACTAATATGCATTTTCTCATTACAATAAAATTCATTTTAAAATCTGAAAGAAAAACAAATAAAAATAATTTATTCATTTTTAATTTTAAATTGAATTGTCGCTCACGTTTATTTCAATTTGAAAAATTATTCTTTTAATAATTTTTGTCTCTTTTTTCTCTCTTTGCCATTTTATCATCATCATATTATTATTATTATTATTTATTCATGTCAATTTATGTAAAAAGTAATTAACGATATATATATATATATATTAATCCGTAGCGAATTCATTCGTTTCGAACCTCATTATGAATAATAATTTAAATAATTTAAATCCGATTTAGAAAAATAAAATTTTTTTTGTCTCTCTTTTATCTATTTATCAACCCCCCCCCTCTCTCTCTCTCTCTCTTTCTCGTTATTTTCACCGTTTTCCATTTCGCACCGCAAAAAAAAAAAAAAATTCAAAAAAAATTTTATTATTTTTTTTTGTAAAAAGACCATTCCGCTTTAGTATAACAAATGGGGGGAAGTGTTCATTTTATAATAAATAAATGTAAAATTTAAAAATTAATGATTTCTGAACGTACTCACTTCGTTTTCTTTTTTTAAAAAAAAACAATTCTTAAACACCACCATTTAATTATTAGGTAATAAATTGAATTCCTTTATACGTAATAAATCATTTTCTTATTAATTTTTTTTTTTTAATAAAACAACAACCGCAACAACCACAACTAGTTTCGTTTTTAAAATTTTAATGTTTTTATATAAAAAAAAAAGAATTTGAGTTATTTAAAAAAAACGACTTTTATCGTTTGTGTGTGCGTGAGAGTGCGTACGTAACACGACCGAAACCATTTTTACAAAGTTTTCACGATTTCCGTTGTGACGTCATCAACGGTTAAAATTAAATTTACGATTTTCTCTCATTGATTTAATTATTTTTTTGTTTTAAACGATATTCAAAGAGTATGTTATCAAAGGATTTGTTAAATATTGTCGTTGCAGTCAGCTGCGAGACGGGCGGGGACAAGTTGTGCCAACTGTAAAACTACAACTACGACGCTTTGGAGGAGAAATCAAAATGGCGAACCCGTGTGCAACGCTTGCGGACTTTATTACAAACTTCATAATGTGAGTATTTAAAAATAATTATTCTTTTCTTCTTCTTTTTTTCAACCGTACTACAAATTAATAATAATAATAATAATAATAATAAAGGGTGCGAGGGTTGACACGCGTTTACGTCACATCAAATTTAAAATTTTAGTCAACGGTTTTTTTTGTTTTGACGGATCACGTGACTTTGGTTAGGCAGTACGAAATTGTTATTTGTATATTGGGTCCATATACGTTAAGGATGTTAGGGAAAATTAGACTTAAGAGAATTGTTATGACGTCATAGGGTATAACAAGACGAAACCTATGATCCGTCAGGCATTTATTCCTTAGGGATCGGCGGGCTAGAAACCTGGAATAAACGAATCGTCGTAATTATACGAGTAAAAATAATAATAATGATAATAAATAAAAGCCGAGTGAATTTTTATTATTATTTATTATTCGTTGTTAATTGGCTGTGACCGTTTATAAAATTTAAACAAATACATATTTATTTTCTCTATGAAAAATTATGATAATAAGTTAAATAAACATAGGTTGTTGTTGTTTGTTGTTTGTTGTTGTTTTCTCTACGTAATGAGGGGTATTTAATAAATTAAAATAAACGAAAATTAACGGTTGAAAACATCGTGGAAGAATAAATTTATTTAAAAAAAAAAAAACGGCAAAATTTATTATTATTATTATTATTATTATTATTATTGTAGTTATTATTATTATTATTATTATTATTATTAACAATGGGTGGCTTTGTCAAAATGATAAATTAATCATGAATTCGGTAATAGTCAGCCTCTTTTTTTTTTAAATGGGGGAAAAAACGTGGCAAGAAAAAAATTGAAATTTATTAAATTTCTCGTGCCACGTCAAAAAGAAACAAAATTTGGGCTGAGAGTTTTTTCGTTTAAAAGCGTCGGAATTTTTTTTTTTTAAATAAAAAAATTTCAATTGTTCTTCTTACACGTTAAAAAAAAAAATTTAAATACGATCGGTCGTCGTCGTCGTCGTCGTTATAAAAATCGATGGTTGTTTGTTGTTGTTTGTTGAATGATTTGCCGAAAGGTAAAAATTGTTTTTTTTTTTCCAAAAAATTGACGTGTCAAAAACGTGTTTGTATTTTTAAACTTACGGCCACTCTTGCTTTTTAACAGTTTTTTTGGAATAATAATCGATCGATTAATCGAAAGAAAAGGGAAGAAAAACGCGCGACAATCGAAATCGCAGGTTTTCTAAAATTTAATTTCCGATTATTTAAAAAATATTCGGCGGTACCAACGTAAAAGAAACAAAAAAGAATTTCGTTATACTTTTCCTTTTATTATTATTATTATTATTTTTCAAGTGTCGGCGATCGGCAAAGACTTTTTCGAGTACTTTTTTTTTTTGGGTGTACTTTTATCACAATGGGTGAGAGAGATCCTTGTACCCCATTTTACATCCCTCGCGTTGGATCTTGTACACGCACTCACGCACACATCATTCGCATTCTGTATCCACGGCAAAAATAAAAAAAAAAAACTTATTTTTAATCGAAACCTTTTGAAAAAAGAAAAAAACGTATCAGATTCCTTTTTTTCTTCATTGTTCGGTGACAAAAAAAAAAAAATTTTTTTTTTCTTCTTTAATGGTTGGTAACAGTTATAAGAAATTTTATCCTTTTGTTTGCGTCATTACACATTTTTATTTATATATATATAAAAGAAAAAATAAGGTCGTGGCTCTAGATTTTACCGGGGGGGGGGGGAAGGAAGAGACAAAGGTCGACACAATAAAAACGATACAAAAGTTTTTTTTTTTTCTGAATCGTACGCATGACGACGACGACGACGACGCCGTCGCCGCCACCGCCTTCGATGATAATTGTAATTCTCGTTTAACCGGAAGTCGAATTTATTTACGAAAACGTCTTCTGCTCGATGTATGGAAGAAGCGACGACTTTGTCGAAAAACAACAAAAAAAATAAAATTTTTGCCTTTAGGGTTTTACACAAAATTTTAACAACAGTTTCTTGGTTGTTTGTTGTTGTTTGTCGTTTGTCGAACGAGAAGAAGCAAAAAAAAAACGAACATTTTTGTTCCAAAACAACGAATGAATTATTAAATTAAATTTTTTTTAAAAAAAACCTTCCGGCATTCGTATTAAGCAATTGATATAATAGACACGTTTCTGACACTTTTTTCTTTTTTTTTTCTTCTGCCACTATTTTTATTTATTATTTTTAAATTTTCACGAAAAAGGTGATAAAGGGTTTTTCCCCCTTTTAAAGTGATTAACTTGATGATCTCAGACATACGTTTGAGGGTTGAAAAACTTTTTTTTTTTTTGATAAGAAACATACGGGAATAAAATGGCGGGGAAATATTTGGGGAAGAGGCAGGAGGGGGATGCGGCGACGGCGTCTTTTTTTTTTAATAAATTTTCTTTTAGTTTTCTTAAACGAAATCTTTAAATAATAATAATAAAAGGTATCGGGGAAGGGAGGAAGGGGGATTGGAGAAAAAAAATGATGAGGATGATGACGTAGAAAAACCGGAAGCTGACACGTTTCTTATACGTTTCGGGTCATAAATAATTTTTTGTGCGTGCGTGCGTGTGCGTGTGTGTGTTCGAAAAAACGGGGTTTTAGAAAAATCTCACGGTGGTTTACATTATTATTATTATTATTATTATTATTATTATTATTAAAAAACATTAGATTGATGAAATGTTTAAATTTTTTTTTTTTTTTTGCTTTTGCTTTAATTCATTTCATTATTATTATTATTATTATGTGTGCTCCCCTGTTTCTCCCTTCCCCCCTCTCTCTCTCTTTCTCACATGACATTTTAATATAAAATCCATAAATCAGGTTTTTTTTGTTATACGTTCGTTTAATAAATTCTTGTTGTTAAACCTTTTTTTTTTTAATGTATTGCATCGGATCGTGGCATTAACAGTGTTTTTTTTTTCTTTTTGCACGTCGTCCTTTTTACCTTTTTTCTTTTTTTTTTTAGGCGCGATTGATTTATTGTTTTTAAATGTTGTCGTACGTAGGTAGGCACTTGTTTCTCTCTCTCTCTGTCTTACTTTTTGACTCTTCCCTTTTTTCCTACCTATTGTCGATATGAATGAGATGAATTCGAATGACCCCTTTTCTTCCCTCCCCCCCTCTTCCTTATCCAACCTTTGACCCCGTCGATTTGGAAAATTCGTTAAATTTTCAACTTTTCGCAGCTTTGATTATTATTTTGTTTTTTATTTGTCAATCTGACTGACGTGCGTGTGTGCGTGCGTGTGCGTGTATTTTCGTAGTTAGTTCCCCGACGTAAACAAAAAGAGAGAGAAAGAGAGAGAAATCAATCGGATTTCTTTGAGTGATTGATATTCTTTTAAAAAAATTTCCTTCCCTTCGTATACAAAAACACGGGGCACTCGCTCCGTATGTGGTAAATTTTGTGTTGTTGTTGTTTGTTGGAATATTCGTTCCCTTATATTTTACGTAATATGCGTTTTCCCTTGTTTTTTTTCCCAAAGCCTATTATTATTATTCTTATTATTACTTTAGACTTTGATGACGAAACGCGAGCCAAAAAAATATAAAAATGACGGAAAAAACATCGTCGCACATTCCACTAGTAAGTAAGAGAGAGAGGAGAAAAGGTAAGGAGGAAGAGAGAGAGAGAGAGAGAGAAACAATTCTTAAAAACGATCCTTTTAAAAAATAATAATAATAATGATACTAATATTTGAGAAGAGGAGGAGATTTTGAGTAAGTAAGAAGGTAAAGTTTGTTTGTTTGTTATTATCCAAAAAAAGACCTTTCCTCCCCCTCTCTCTCTCCCCCCATCTCTCTCTCTCTCTTTTATTCACAATATGGGGTAAAATAGCTCAATTGATTGTTACTGTGTACTTGTCTCCGGTCTCTGCGTGGTTCTTTTATTCGTTTTAAGTGTTTCTTCCTATGTGTGTGTGTGTTTATACATGGTTGTGTGTTCGATATATACTGTTGCCATTGTTAACAAAAAACCTTTTGACATGTTAAAGAGAGAGAGAGAGAGAGAAGGTTCTATTTCGTTCGAGAAAAAAACAAACAAACAATGAGAAGAAGAAGAAGGGGGAAAATTTTTTCTCGTGTATCCTTGCATATTTTTTTTTTCTCTCTTGGAATGTTCTACGATACTCTATGAATTTTTTTCGTTTTTTATGATGATGATGTAGGTTATGAAAAAAGGCGGGAAAATATTTGAAATCAAACGGAAACGAAAGAAAGGATTTGCGAGATGATGTGAATGATGAAGAGAAATGATTTACACGAATTCTTCTAACGATGCTGAACAACAACCACAACAACAACAAAAATGAAACATCGGACATCCGTCGTGTGTGTGTGACACACGAAAAACAAACGCTTTGTCATATATATAAAAAAAAATATGGCGGCATTTTTAAAACAAAAGAAACCGCCGTATTAAATATTCCATATGCGCTTATCACGTGCACTTCATAACTTAAGAAAAAAGGAGATGAAATTTTTGTTAGAAAAAATGCCGAAAATTCTTTTTGTTGGCCGAGATCACCGAAACCTAAAGACCCTCCAGGTATTTTTTTAAATAATAATAATAATAATAATATTCGTCTTTTGCAAATATTTAAAAAAAAAAAAAAAACGGGGAAACGGCTGCGGCGGTGGCAGTGGCGGGAGTCGGTCGGTGGTCGACCGTGAAAAAAAAATTATTATTATTGATAATAATTGAGTGACAATCACGTGGAAGCAGATTGGCACGAGATGGTTAAAAAAAAAAGGCCTTTGATCTTTCTATGGACTTTGGTTTGTCAATTATCCATCATCATCATCATCATCTTTATTCGTTTATGTATTTACGTACGTGACTTTTCTTAGTCGTCCCGTCGTCGTCGTCGTCGACGACGTGACGTGGAAATTTTTGCGAACGTTTTTTTTGCAAATTCTGAGCATGAGAATAAATATCGTTTTTGTATCGACGCGATGAGATGGAAAAGGAAGAAAAAAAGGAAAGAAGAAAAGAATTTTGAATGTGAAAGAAGAAGAAGAAGGAGAAGGAGTAGAAGGAGGAAGAGGAAAAAAAGTGAAAGAAGTAGAGGTAATGGTAGCAGCAGCAGCAGTAGTAGTAGTAGTAGAAAGAGAAAAAAAAAGTGGAAGAAGATGAACAAGGAGGAAGAAGAGGAGAGAAATAGAAGTCAAAGTAGCAATGGCAGAAGCAGCAGCAGTAGTAGTAGCAGTAGAAAGACAAAAAAAAAGTGGAAGAAGAAGATGTCTTCGTCTGGTATCTTTGATACGACAAAACAAAAAAAGAAGATGATAAATTCCTTTCTTCTAATGTTGTTAAATTCTCAATAATTTAAACCATAAACGACCATTTTGACCTTTTCAACTTTCAAGTTTGAAAAATTAATTTTTTTTTTTTTTCATACACGGAGGCTATTTTTTTTTAATAATAAAAAGATGACGAACAGGTAGAAGAATGACGACGACTGCGACGACGACGACGACGACGACATTTGACACGGTCAAAAGGTTAATTGAATCAAATAACGACGCGTGGAATCAATCAATTATTTTGATACGCTCGCCGATCGATCGATAATTAATCGATTTTATCCCTTTTTGTTGTTGTTGTTTTCGCATTCCTGTTGACATACGACGCTACGTCATGATTCAATAATAATAATAATGACGGATTTGAATTTGAAAGGACGTTCGGATATTGTGACGTCATAACCCGAATTACAAATTTTTTTTTTTTTTTTCGAAAAAAGTTTGCCCGTTTTTTTTTAGGAAAAAACTGGAAAAACATTACAAGTTCGAACCAAAGACGGAGGGGGGGGAAAGGGCCTTGAGGAGTGATGATAATAATAATAATAATAATAATAATAATAATAATAATAATGATAATAAACAATAAGAAAATGATAGAAGAAGAAGAATAAAATCGCCGATGGTGATTTTTTTATTTTAAAAAAAAAAACATTTAAAACTTGGCATTATTATTATTATTATTATAGCGGTTGTGGTTGTGGTTGTTGTTGTTGTTGTTGGAAATAATAAATATGATAAACGAGTTGCTGTAAGGCGAATCGGTGGCTTCACCCTCGAGCAAATATAATATTTTACATATTGTATAAAAACATACCAACTAACCATCGAACCACCGCCACCGTCAACCTTCTTTTGACATATTTATGTTGTTTCGTGTGCGTTTGTGCGCGTGTGTAGAGAAAGAGAGAGAGAGAAAAAGATGGGGAAAATTGCAGGGAGGGGGGGGGGAAACGTTCGATTAAAATACAAGAAAAAAAAAAATTTTAATTTATTTTAAAATAAAAGGCGGAGTCGTCGTCGTCGTCGTCAGTTTTTTTTTTTTTTTTCTGTTGGGTTCGAATTCAAATGATAAATTTTATCAACCGTCGCCGAAAAGGATGCAAAAAAAAAAAAATTCTGGAATTTTTCTATCTCTCTCCCTCTCCCCCTCTCTCTCTCTCTCACACACACTTTGTGACTTACGAGAAAAAGATTTTTTTTTTTTTTTAATGAAGGAAGTTTATTGTTGTCTGAACCTTTAAAAGCGTCGCCTTACAAAACTTTTCGAAAAAAAAAGTCTGTCATTTTTTTCTTTCCCCCCCCCCAAAAATGTTAATTAATAATAATAATAATAATTAAATGATTTTTTTGCGCACGAGCGAGCGGACGAGTTTGAATTTAATTTTTAATCATCATCATCATTATCATCATCATTATCATCGCGATAGAGATGTGATAAAATATATATATACATAAATAAATGTCGAGGTCAGTTTGGCTTTCGCTTACCTCCCCAAAAAAAAAAAAATTTCTCCAAGGAGCCAACAAAATAAAATAAAAAAAAAACACCCGGCTGCTAAAAGCGTATTTGGCTTACTATCAAAAGATATCAGATCGAGATATCGTTTTTCTTAAAAAAAAAAAAAAACGATTAATCGAAAACGTTAAAAATCTTAGTTGTGTGTGTGTTCGAGTCCAATCTGATAAAATGAAATTTTTTTTTTTTTTGTGTCGTGGTAATAAACCATTTTTTTTTTTTTTTGGATGATGAAAATTTCTTTTTCGTGAACTCAAACCCCCCTCTCCTCTCGCCCCCTCCCGCGCCCCCCTCAGAAAAAAGAAAGAAAGAAAGAAAGAAATTTAAAAGCTTAAAAGCTCCCTCTCTTTCTCTCTCTGTCGGATAATATTAAAACCCTTGACATTGCTGACAACATAAACAACAACAACGAGAAAAAATTTTTAATTTTGCGTCATTGTGACGTCACATAAAACGTCATCAACACAACGGGTGTATAAAAAGTATAGATTTGGGTAATTCGATATGATTTTTTTGAATTTTTCTTACAAAATTGATGAAATGGCGACACGTAGATCATTAAACGATTAAGAATGTGTGTGTGAGAGAGAGAGAGAGATAGAGAAAATTTCAACATGGCGACAATTTTAAGGGTTTGTCGTCCCGTCGAATATTTATATATATATTTATGACATTTAAAAATTTTAATTAGTTTTTTTTTTCCTACAAGAAAATTTTGTCTATTTTTTTTTTATTTTAATAGATTTCGTAACGTCCCATTTAATTTTAAACTCCCTCATTTTTTTTTTTTTTAAATAAAGAATAAAAGAGTCTTTTAAACTTTCTCTCTTTCTCTCACACACTCTCTCTCTCTCTCTTTCCCCGGATATTTTAAAAAAGTTGCATTAAGGCGTCCAACTTCCGTCCGTCCGTCCGCCCGTTCGTTCGTCCTTATTGAAATCATCGTCTTGCGTGTATAATATGGAAAATCGTATCGCGGCCTCCTTCATTCGTTTTTTTTTTTTTTTTACTTCACCCACGAAAATTTTTATCACGGAGGCTGCGAACGAACCCCTTTACACCGCCCCCTTTAATAGCACACATGCTTTATTTCACCCATTTAATGCATCGTTAATTTTTTTTTTATGGCGCGTATCCATTCGCGACCACCTGAATCTCTCTCTCTCTCTCTCTTTTTTTTTGCCAAAAGTTTGTTTAAATAAATTTTTTATTAATAACAGCCGTAACAACAACAACGATAATAATAATAATAATGATGATAATGATGATGATGTTTAATCAAAAAAAAAAAAAAATTCGATCTTTCGTCACGCACGAGCATAATATAAATTATTATAATTATTATTAATAAAAAAAAACGTAGAGGGGTGACAAAGTTCATTCGTAATAATAATAATAGTAATAATAATAATAATAATAATAAAATAATTGTTTTTTTTTTTTTAAAGGTAAATCGACCTTTGACGATGAAAAAGGAAGGGATACAAAC